TCCCTTCATCTCACAACAAACCGCTGGGGTCACCCGACCAGGCAGTTGTGCCCACAGAAAACTCTGGCAAAAGAATCTTTTTTTTTTTTTAGTCTTTATTGTTGAAAGTATATGTCTCCTTTGCCCCCCATTGACTGAAATATGGTAGCACTCATACTTGGGTAAAAACTGCTGTTTGAATTTTAACCTTGCTATCTGACTTCGACCTTCGATTACTTGCTTGAACAATAGGGTAGTTGCAGGAGATTGACTCCCACTGACTCCGTAGATAACCTTTAGTTCTGCTTTTGTATTATGGGCAAGATAGGGCCACATTCCAATGTCAAGCAGGGTGTGACTGGGAGCCGACCCTGCCGGCTGTCCCCAGTCTTTAGAATTTAGTCCTGAGGGGCCAATCAGGGTTAGCTGAGGCAGTGACATCACCGACCTGAGTAAAACCCCTGGACTGGGCGAAATTCGCTCTCTTCCGCCATGCTGCCGGCATGAGTGGGACAGAGCCCATGCTAGCATGGAGATGGCTCTTTTGTTTATTGCATCGGACTCGGCTCCCTGGTGGTCCTTGGGGATCATGACTGGAATCTCCAGCCAGGACCATGAGGGACCCCCATTCCGGAGAGCCTGACTGGCCACGGTAGGTGTGTGTTTGTCTGTGTTTCTGTGTGAGCGCTCTGGAGGGACTGCCCCTCCATCAGGGCTCTTACCTGGGTGTTTACCGGCTGCTGCGTCAGCCATGGTTTGAGTCCAGATTCGAATCTGTAATAAATTCTAGCATGCTTAATCAAATTGGCTCCGGTGGTCCATCTCTTGGGGACTCGCTTCGTAACATTGACCTCTTCTAGCCCCTCCCCATCTCCCATCCCAGGCCTTCACCACCCTATTGTCAGTGACCAGGGTTTATGCATATAGGGCAAAATGAATTTTCAGGAGCAAGGAGGCACAAACCAGGCCAGCAGTATCCTGTCAACGATTGCTGGTCTTTCCACCACCCCCTATGGTGGTCACAGAGACCTTGTGCTCATATCCTTTTGGCTGGTAGCTTTGAAGTCCCTGCTATTCAGTGTCATGGTGTGATACAAAGAAGAGAACTCTGGACAGAGTTTGGGCTCTGTCATGGTGTGATCCTGGCTCCCTCAGTTGAAAAGTGATAGCAACAATAAAACAATGCCAGGCCTTTCTTCCCCCAGAGAGTTGCAGTGAAAATCAAATGAGAAAGTGTATTCTAAAGACCTCGGTATCATATGCAGAGGTCCTCTGATGAGTTAGTCACCTCTCCTAGGTCACTGCCTCCATTTCCGGGGGTGGGAAGAGGAAGAAGGCAAAGGATCCCACCTGGATCTTTCAGTTCTGGCTTCCCTTTGCCATTGTTTGTGGGAACTTCTTTACCTTCTCCTCAGATCTGGGCACTACAGAGCCAAGGACCCCGAATCTATAGACAAGGAGGCTGGTGCCACAACCTTATGCAGCAAGGATTCAGAATCTGGAGAAGGGGCTACGCACAAATGGATATACTAGATAAGAAATATAAATTTAGAAGGCATGTGGGAAAGCCAGGCGGAGGCCTCACCATCTAGTGGAGTGGCTCCCTGAATCTCTGGACCCATGGCTTTTTTTTTATTTATTGGAATATACATTTGCCTTTTAGCAAAGCAAATAGACATATTAAAAGTAAGGCTTGGTAAACAATGAAAGATTATCAGATTGCCTTTAGCCACCATTGTCTCGACAGAACTGTAGGTGCATAGCTTTCAGCCCTTGCTAAAGCCCAAGGTCCATCAGCCTTCTGACGGACCTCTCACATTTACTATGCTAACTACTTGCTGGTCTTTGCCTCCAGTAGGCTGGAACTTGTCTAAGGCCATACTGGGAATTCATAGCAGGATCAGGATTAGGGTCCTAGTCTCTTGAGTCTTATAAGTTCTGAAGGTTCCCCACCCCCACCTTACTAGAGCTGGCCTGCCTGGAGGGAAGGCAGGTGCCTCCACACCTCCCAACTTGAGTGTCCCAGGATCTGCTCTCTGTCCCTTCCCTGCAGTCACAGCCTTGTCTCCTTTGCCTCCCTGACTCTGAACCAAGAGACAATCCACTCTGATCAGAGCTGCCTCCCTCCCTTAACACATTCTCTCCCACAAATGATTTATAGGAATCAAATGATAGGCTGCAGCTGTAAGTCAGCTCATTAGCCCCAGCCATGAAATAGATTGTTGCTGGGTAGCCATTGGGAATTTTTCTCTCTGCTACCCCACCTCTCCAGACCTGCCCAGCCAGCTGCACTCACTTCCTGCCTCCCCTCACAATTAAGCTTACCTGCCCATGTCCATTTCTTCCCCCCCCCCCTTTCTTTATTGATTAAGGTATTACATATGTGTCCTTACCCTCCCCCATTGCCCCCTCCCTGCTCATGCCCTCACCCCCCTGGTGTCTGTGTCCACTGGTTATGCTTCCATGTCCATTTCTCCCCGCATCCTCCCCTCCCCCCCATCTCAGCTAGTGTGACAATCAGTTCAGGCCTTTACCCATTTAGTCATTCATGGATCATCTTTTAATTAATTTATTCCATCAGTTAGCAGATAGGAACTGGAAAACCAACCATGCTTCAGATACTGCATTAAGTACTTACACAGGACTCTAGTGTATGACTGTCTGTGTCCAAATCTAGCTCCACCAGTTCTTAGTGAGTGATCTTGAGAAAACTATTTAATGCCTTTAAGTCTTTCTCATCTGTAACAGCGGAATAATAATAGTACCCAGCTCATGGGGATGGTGCGAATATTAGGTGGGATAATGCACATAAAAGAACTAAAACAAACATGTTCATCTGCATGTTCTCATTGATGGCCTCAATAAACAGCCAGCAAACCCCAACCATGGTGGCTCCTCCACCAACAGTGTTAGACCCCAAGCCACGATGCCCTTGCTGATAATGAACAATGTGTAGCCTTAGATAAGTCAGAGTTTTAAATAGTGAAGGCTCAAGGACACATTAATCCAATCATAAAATAAAGCATGCATCCTGGTTCATTTAGGAAGCCTACACCCCTAATTATAACCACACCCCTGATTATGTAATTATTACTAGGTTTTCCTTGTTATAAAGTCCAAATAAAGGGGCTCAATTTTATATTCACATTATCCTGGTTATCTTTAAAAAAAAAAATTTAAAACAGTATCTGGAATGTGAAAGCTATTACTAGTTCTACTAATAGTTTTCCTATTAACCACTATAATTATTAAGCACTGGTAATATACTAGTCAAACACAGGCCATGGCCTTAAGGAAGAAAGATAGGTAAGTATGTATAATGCAGAGTATGATTGGGCTGATAGAGAACACAAAAGGGGGTGCCCATAAAAGCCGGTGTGGAAGAGAGTCAGGAAGACTTCCCCAGGGGCAATGCTTGAGCCTGGATTCAAGAAAGTAGACAAGTGAGAGGAGAACGTTTCAGAGAGAAACCAACTCATTCAAGAACCTGGAGGTGCAGGAGGGTAGATCTCCATGGGGCAACTGAAGGAGTTTGCCTGCTTGGATTCCAGGTTGGGAGGGAAAGATCCTGAAGGGCTTTGGGGGTGATGTTGACAGGTTTGGACTTTACTCAACTGTTGTGTCTTGAGCAACCTGGTTGAATTGGCATTTCAGAAAAACCACTTAGGCAACCATTTGGAGAAAGGATAGGTGGGACGCTCGTTAGGAGCTGCTGTCTAGGCAAGTGGGAGCTTCAGGAAGGCAGGGCCAAGGCACAGAGAAGGGCCAGTTTTAGGAAATAATCAGGAGTTGGATTGAACAGGTTCAGTTACTGCTGGGCTAAGGGAAGTCAGGAAGTTGGAGAAGAATGAGGTGCTACAAGTTTCTCCCAGAGTGACTGGGTGGGCACTGTCCTCACTCACCAAGACCAGGGATGCAGGAGGAAGGGGAGAGGGATGAAGTTTAAAAAAAAAAATATTAAAGAGAGAGAGAGAGAGAGAGAGAGAGAGAGAGAGAGAGAGAGAGAGAGAGAGAGATTGAGAGAAACAACAATGAGAGAGAAACATCAACATTGATCAAGTGCCTCCTGTATGCCCCCTACTGGGGAAGGAGCCTGAAACGCAGGCATGTGACCTGACCAGGAATCAAACCAGTGACCTCTTGGTGTATGGGTCGACACTCAACCTCTGAGCAACACTGGCCAGGCAGGAGTTCCACTTTGGATAGAAGGTGGGTGACACATGTATAAATACACTTTAAATTCTGATTGGGGATAGAGAGAGATGGAAATACAGGAGGGAGGATGGGAGCTGATGACTGAGGTTCCTGAGAAGAGAGGACAAGGAACCTAGAAAGCAGGGGACACAGGAGGGAAAGGAAGGGTGGCTGTGGGTGTGAGTTCTTCAGAAAGTCCCAGCCACTGCCTATAAAGAATTGTCCCCTTTTTTGTCTTCCTTCTCCCATCAGTTCTTTTCTCCCTTACACACTCAGTCCAAGGACTTGTACTTTTCTTACTATATTCAAGGTCACTCACTGGCATTCCCACTCTCTCATCTATTTCCAGAACTCTTCCATGAATCTTCCCGAGTTTTCTTCCTCTACTGCTTTTATTTGAGAGTCACCTGGGACTTGGCAGATCTTACCCAAGACAATACTTTTGACTAAATAAATAAATAAATAAATATTATACTAAAGTGATCCAGAGTGGGCTCTATGGCACTTGATATCCAGGAAGTGACTCTTCAGAATAAAAGAAAGGGCTCAGGTGCCAAGCAGAGTCTTAGCCTTGGGTCTCAATTGTGAGCTGTAGTCTTGTGGCCCTGGTACTCCTTCTTGTAAGAGTGCAGCCTCTCTCCACCCCCCTAGAAGCCCCATCAGCTTACCACTCCACCTGGCTCCCTCCCTCCCAGCACAGCACCTACCGCACAGCCTTTGCTCAAAGCTCGTATAGCACAGGCCCTGACAGTTCATTGGCCATGACACTTCATCTTACCAGAGCAACTTTGCCAAGAAAAACCTGAGGGCAAGTAAGAAAACCAGTTGTGATCCGCCCGCCCGGTAAGCAGGTGGCAGTGCAGCATCCAGCCCCGCCTCCAGTGTCTCCTGGCGTCTCAGGGATGGAAGGTGAAGCAGACACTCCAAGACCGGATTCCTGAAGCTCCAGGCCATCCTGCTATTCTGTGGGGAGCAGCCCGAGAACTGACGGCTGCCACCATGGCACAAGGTAGGGCAGGCCCATGGGGCTGCTGGAGGTCAGGGGCAAGAAAGACAGAGAGACTGTAGGAAGTCAAGTGAGGGTGGATTCGTAGGAAGAAGAAAGCAAATAAAGAACAGAGACAGGAAGAGTAGAAACTCCAGGAACCTCAGAATTGGTAGCCCAAGAACCAGGAGAGAGGAGATGCCAGCAGGTAAACACAGCCAAGCAGCTGCATGCGGACATGCTGGCTTCTAGAGCCCAATGGGACAGGGCAGAGTCAGGAAATAGGGAGTCGTGGTTTCTGCTCTTTTCCACCAGCTGACCCTTTGACACTGAGCAAGTCACTTCTCCAGTTCCCAGCCCCCCGTGCCTGAAAAAATGAGGGGGTTGGATAAGATAATCTTGACATTGTCTTCCATTGCTAGAAGTCTCTAAATTTCATATCTTCACTTCTTCCCCTACTTCAGGCTCTTCCTCACCTTAGGTAATCTTCTCACCATCACCCTTCTATCTATATCAATTCCCTCTCTCTAGAAAGAGCTGCTATGAAGATTAAATGGTTAGTTAAAATCATAAGAATAAGCTATAAAGTTCTACAAACATAGCAGACTCACCTTCATTTACTGTTTTGTGTTAAATTTTTATTTTTTAATTTCTAATTACACAATAAATATACACAGTTGAAATAAAATAAAGCAATAATTACAGGTAAAGCTATAGTCAGTCCCTTTACCCTCAGCCTTGCCTCCAGAGAAACCACTGTTACCAGTCTTTTGTCTACACACACACACACACACACACACACACACACACACACATATATATATATATATATATACACTCAATGTAATATTAGTATGTGTTACTTCTTTTTTTGTATATCTTTAGTATAATCATATTGTACATATTTTTCTACAGCTTGACTTTTTTTTTTTTCCTCAACAGTATGCCTTAGGGCACTATCCATGCCACTCAGTAACTATAGATTTTCACTATTTTCTATATTGTATAGTATTTTATATTATGGGTGTAAGTGATTTATTTATCCAGTCCCCTATTGTAAGCATTCAGGTTGCTTCCCAATTTTTAGTTATATAAGCAATGTTGCAATGCAAGTTCTTATCTATACCTCTTTGTGTTTGTGTGAGAGTATCTCTCTAGCTAGATACTAAGACCAATTACTTTAAAAGTTCTTCCTGTCATTTTATTTCTACTTTATTGATCATTTCACTACATTCTTCTTGCATAATAAGAAGAACAAATATGTCCAACGTTAAATGTACCTCCTGCTTGAATATCTGGTTTCTGGGCTGAAGAATAATCCTTATGTTACAGGCAGATACTATTGTAGTATTAACTAGACCCAGAGGGTGAGCTTTGTCCCCACTATTCACTGTCAGGCAGATGTTACTACTCCTGCTGAGTAATCTGGGTCATGTGCCCAAACTGAATCAGGACCAATTAGCAATCTCTGTCTAGTCAACTCTCTAGTTTTTTGATCTCCAAAAGAATGTGCTTCTGGTTCCGCCACTAGGGAAAAGTCAAGTGCTTTCCCAACTGGCAGTGGGTTGGGTGTCCTTTTTGAACATGAGTGAAGGCTGAAAATGGGCGGGAGCTATTAGGTTTCTTAATGGAAAGAGCACAGGACTTGAGCCAGTAACCTTACTTTTAACTTTGGGCGAGACATTTAATTTGCCTAAACCTTGGTTTTCCCTATGCCAACTGTGTATGGCATGACATTTCATGCCTCCACTGTTGTTGCGAGGATTCAATGAGAAAACTGTCTTAAGGTGCCTCGGACACTGCCATCACATAGTACCGGAAACAGGCCCACAATAAGGTGTTCGTTGAATCTGAAATTTGAAATAAGTATAGGGTAATTATACAAAAGACAGAGAACTTTTAATACCTACAATGTGCTGAAAATTATGCTTATATTTCTTTTATAAGAAACCCATGCTTATTAGCAGTCATGTTCCATATCCTCCTCATCCCAGCCCCTGCTAAACTCTAATCTACTTTCTGCCTTTATGAATTTGCCTGGTCTGCACATTTTATATTAATCGAATCATATAATATGCGGCTTTTGTGTTTGTCTTCTTTCACTCTGCATAAAGTTTTCAACTTTCATCCATGCTATAATATATTCAGCATTTCTTTTATGGCTGAATAATATTCCATTGTATGGAGATACCACGTTCATTAATTAATCAGTTGATGAACATTCAGGTTGTTTCTATTTTCTGCATGTTATAAATAATGCTGCTATCAACATTAACATACAAATTTGTGTGAACATATGTTTTCAGTCTCTTTGGTATAGGAGTGGAATCTCTAGGAGTGGAACTGCTGGGTCATATGGTAACTATGTTTAACATTTTGAGGAGCTGCTGGGACTGTTTCAAAATGGCTACATTATTTTACAATCTCACCAGCAATATATGAAGGTTCCAATTTCTCTGCATTCTCACCAACACTTGTTGCTTTCTCTCTTTCTTGTTATAGCCGTCCAGGTGAATAGATAGGGTAAAAGTGGACCTCATCTTGTATTGTTCCTTATCTTAGGGGGAAAGCAGCTAGTCTTTCACTATTAAGTATAAAGTTAGATGTGGATTTTTGTAGATAAACTTTATCAGGTTGAGGAAGTTTCTTTTTTTTATGTCTAAAGTTTTACATATGTCTCCTTATCCCTCAACAGACCCTTTCCCTCGTCCCTACCCAGCCCGGGCAAGCCCCCACCACCCCAGTGTCTGTGTCCATTGGTTATGCTAATATGATTGCATGTAAGTCCTTTGGTTGCTCTCTAACCTCCCCCTCCCCTACCATTTGTCTCTGGATCTATTCATGTTCATCAAATTATGTTGATCATTATATCCCACAATTGAGTAAGATTATGTGATATTTATCTTTCTCCAACTGGCTTATTTTGCTTAGCATAATGCTCTCCAGTTATATCCATGCTGTTGCAAATGGTAAGAATTCCTTCTTTTTACTAGCGGCATAGTATTCAATTGTGTAGATGTACCACAGTTTTCTAATCCACTCATCTGTTGATGGGCATTTAGGCTGTTCCAAACCTTAGCTATTGTAAATTATGCTGCTATAAACATAGGGGTGTATATATCCTTTCTGATTGGTGTTTCTGTTTTCTTGGGATATAGTCCTAGAAGTGGAATTACTGGGTCAAATGGGAGTTCCATTTTTAACTTTTTCAGGAAACTCCATACTGTTCTTCATAGTGGCTGCATCAGTCTGCATTCCCACGAGCAGTCCACGAGTGTTCCTTTTTTTTTTTTTAAATAAATTTTTATTGTTCATATTATTACAAATGTTCCTTTCCCCCCCCCCCCCCCCGCTTCTCACCCCACCCTCTGCCCTTTCCTCACCCCCCATTGTCCTCATCCATAGGTGCACAGTTTATGTTCAGTCTCTTCCCACATCCCCCTCTCCCCTTTTCCCCAAGAATAAACAGTTCACTCCCCTTCCATACCTCTGATTCTATTATATTCAACAGTTAATATTGTTCCTCAGATTTTTTTTTTTTTTTTTTTAGTTTCCTTGGTTTTTAGATTCACTTGTTGATAGTTACGTATTTGTTGTTCATAATTTTTATCTTTATTTACTTTCTCTTCTGAAAGAACCCCCTTCAGCAATTCATATAATTCTGGTTTGGTGGTGATGAACTCCTTTAGCTTTTTTTATTAGTGAAGCTCTTTATCTGACCTTCGAATCTGAGTGATAGCTTTGCTGGATAGATTATCTTTGGCTGTAGGTTCTTGCTATTCATCACCTTGAATATTTCTTGCCATTCCCGTCTGGCCTGCATGGTTTCTGTTGAGAAATCAGCTGACAATCGTATAGGTGCTCCTTTATAGGTAACTACCTTCTTTGCTCTTGCTTCTTTTAATATTCTCTCTTTGTCTTTTGCTCTTGGAATCTTAATTATGATTTGTCTTGGTGTGGTCCTCTTTGGATTCCTTTTGTTTGGAGTTCTGTGCGCTTCCTGGACTTGTAAGTCTAATTCTTTCACCAGGTGGGGAAAGTTTTCTGTCACTATTTCTTTCAGTATGTTTTCGATATCTTGCTCTCTCTCATCTTCTGGGACCCCCATAATTCTGATGTTGGTTCGCTTGAAGTTGTCCCAGAGGTTTCTTACATTATCTTCAACTTTCTGGATTCTCTGGCCTTCTTGCATCTGCGGAGGAGTGTCTTCTAGCTCTTTATGTTCCAAATTTTTGACTTGATTCTTGCGATCTTCCATTCTGTTTTTAGGACTCCATAAAATATTTTTTATTTCAGACAATGTATTCTTTATTTCTTGTTGATCCCTTATTATTTCTAGTTGATCCCTTTTCATATCCTCATAGGTCTTGTTTATTTTATCGGCCTTTTCTAGGAGATTCTTGAACAACCTTGTAAGTGTGGTTTTGAACTCTATATCCAGTTGCTTTTTGTCCTCCATTTCTTTCGTTTGTGATCTATTTGGTTTAGGCATTTTCGCAGGCAGCTTTCCTGATGGGGCGGGGTTTCAGGGTGGAGCCTACAGCCTTGGCTTCAGTCAGCCCCGCCCTATGCGACTCCTGAGACTCAGGGTCCTTCAGTACTTGTTGTGAGCGCCTCTGAGAGAAAGGTGCCCTCGATTTTCACCTGCTGCCAAACTGTCTATGCTCTCCCCCAATGAGTCCGGTATTGGGGTTCAGTTCAGTTGGTAGTGGGATTGGAGGTGGCGTTCAGAGCAGTCTGGAGCCCCTGTCTCCTTCCCGTCAGGGCAATCCCTCGGCACAGCCGGCCAGCCCTTCTCTGCGTGCAGTGTGCACGCCTCCGGGACCTCCTTTCGCCGCTTCCCCCGGAGTCCCGCCTTACAGCCCGGCTCTCTATGGATGAGCCTGGGTCTCCAGGGTCTGGCCTAGAATTGGGGTTCAGAGCAGTTGGAGCTGGGCCCAGCACAGTCGGAGCTTTTCTCTCCTTCCCGCTTGGGACCTCCAGCCAGGCACTCGGCCTCCCTCCTCACCGGCTCTGTCCTTTCCGCGCGTGCCGCATGACTCCATACCTTGGGCTTTTACAGCTCCTCCGCGCTTCCTTCTGATTTTCTCCTTGCTTCTTGTTGTAGAATTTCCAGTCAGTCGACTTTCCTGTAGTTCTGGGTAATGTCCATTTTATATTTTAGTTGTATTTTGTTGAAATTGTTGTGTGCGGCTGCGGCTAGTTGCCAACCCGAGCAGCCATCTTGGATTCTCTGACGAGTGTTCCTTTTTCTCTGCATCCTCACCAGCACATTTTGTTTGTCGATTTGTTGATGATAGCAATTCTGACAGGTGTGAGGTGGTACCTCATTGTTGTTTTGATTTGCATCTCTCAGATGATTAATGACTTTGAGCATGTTTTCATGTCTCTCAGCCTTCAAAAAGTGTCTATTTAGATCCTTTGACCATTTTTTTTTTATTGGATCGTTTATCTTCTTTTGTTAAGTTGTATGAGTTCTCTGTAAATTTTGAAGAGTAAGCCCTTATCAGAAATATCATTGGCAAATATGTTTTCCCATGCAGTGGTCTTTCTTGTTGTTGCTGATGGTTTCTTTTGCTGTGCAGAAGCTTTTTATTTTGATGTAGTCTGATTTGTTTGTTGAGGAACTTTCTTCTAGTCTTAATTTCTTAAGTATTTTCATTATGAAAGAATGTTAGATTTTGTCAAATGTTTTGGTTCATATTTCTTAAAATCTAAATACATATGAGATGACACAGCTAGGTCTCTGTCTCCATTGATTTACATCTAGTGGTAGGAAACAGATAAAAAAGTAACTGCAGAAATAACTGAACATCTCATGCTGAGCCTAAATCTAGTAGACTCTCAGTAAAAGTTTGTTGATGTGAATGAACAAATGAACATATTAACTTGTCAATTAAGCAGTGAAGGTTCCCTATTAGTGATGCAGTTACATGCTGTAGATCAAGTGAAGATGGGAAGAGGGATAGGCCAAATGAGACAAGCACTATGAAAAGGTGGGTCTTGAACAAGCATTGGAGGAAAAGTGGACTTTGGTTAGATAGTGAAAGGCATTCTGAGTTGGGGCCACAGCAGCAGCAAAATACACGGACAGGAAGGCTACCACTTGCTTGAAGACATCAGACGGAGAGGAAGACCCCTGGTGAAAGTGGAGAGAAATGAGAATTTAAGTGTAAGTTAAGACCACGTATGAAGAATCATAAAGGTCAGGTTAAGGAGTGTGCATTTTGTATGGTGGGCTATTGGGTATCTCAGAGCTTTTAAAGCAAAGGAATGAATAATCAAGTTGTCTGGGGGAGAGGTAATCTGGTGATATGTTAAGGGGTGGGTGATGTGGAGAGACAGAAAGAAGAAGACATGATGGAGACTATTAGTGTCACTAGGAGTGAGGTGAGGAGGTTGGAATTATGTTAATGTGGAAAGGGATAGCTGGGCACCACAGACATTTTCAATGAAAGAGTGAAGGGACTTATGATACATAAATAGATATAGACTGAGAAGGAGATGGCTGAGCCAACTGTGATTTAAAGTGTGTGATGCCATGTGCCTGGGAACCATGCTATGACTGTGTTTAAATGTGAAGAAGTCAGAAGTGAATCCCTTCTGTGGAGGTACACAGGAGGACATTGAGGTCAATCTGTGTCTTAGCAGAAACTCTGGAAGGCTGAGAGTGGGCCTTTCCTTGCTGACCTCAGCAGCTCAGCTCCCCAATCATTGGGCACAGGCATTAGTATAGTCAGGAGGCCGGCGAACCGCTAAAAGCACAGCAGCCAACCTAGGGACTTTCTCCCAAATTTGGATGCTGGTACAGGGGAAAGTGAAACTCAACTTTTGTTGAAGAAAATGGGTGCTGGTGTAAATCTGAGAACATTCTAGGCTAAAGGGCACAGACATAGCTGGCCAGTCCTACAGGAGTTGGACTGAGAGAGAAAATCATGTCCCTCCAGGAGAGTAAGGGAGGAAGGTTTAGAAGGTCAGAGAAGCAGGAAAGGAAGGGAGGAAAGAAGTAAAAAGGAGGCATGTACATGTAGGGAGCCTCATTTAATCCTTATACCAACTGTATGAGACTGGTACTATGGAATCTATTTTACCGACTTGGAAACTGAGGCTCAGAAAGGCTAAACTTATTTCTCGAGTTTGCACAACTAGTCAGTGGTGGACAAGACTGGATCATGCTCCATAACCCTGATCTTTCGTCTGCTCCTGCTGCCCCATTGCAGGGCTGGAGTTGTCTGTCACAGACTTCCAAAGCTCCCAGAACAACATGTGGCACCACACGGAGGAGATCAGCTTTGACCACCTCATCGTTCGCCGGGGCCAAGCTTTCAACATCACTCTGTACTTCAGGAACCGGGCCTTTGAGCCAGACCTGGACAAGATCATCTTCGTAGCTGAGACTGGTGAGAACCTCTGCTGGCACACAGGGGATGGTGCGGGGGTCAGAGTCTCAGGAGCTGCGGGGTTTCCTCAGAGGGCCTCAACTCTGCTTCCCTCCCTCCCAGGACCGATGCCTGACCAGGCCAAGGGGACTCGGGCTGTATTCAGCCTGGCGGGTCGTCATGGCCCCAGCCCCTGGACGGCCTCACTGGAGACCATCAGGGACAGCCGCCTGGAGGTGAGCCTGTATGCCCCTCCCACGGCGCCTGTGGGTCGGTACCTCCTGAAGGTTCACATTGACTCCTTCCGGGGGTCGGTCACGGCCTACCAGCTCGGGGAATTCATTCTGCTCTTCAATCCCTGGTGCTCAGGTAAGGCAGGGTGCCTGTGTGGGGGTCCCTTGTCTCTGCCCCTGTGTCAATGCCACAGAGAGCCAGGATCAAGGATCTAGACCCTGCTCGCTGGGAACCCACAAACCTCTCCAATCCTGTGCACTAGGCATTCACTCCCAACCACCAAAAAGCAGAAAAGGATAAATTGTTATTTATTGGCTTATCTAGAATTTTAAAATTATGAACCAAGTCATCTTTACTTAAAAGGAAAACTATTACAATTAAGTTTAACCACTGTTAACATTTACCTTTATCATACATTTTAACTTAACTTGAGTTTTTTCATTGTAAGAATAATAAGTGAATTGTGGAATGAAGTAAAGAGCAAAAGAAAGTAAGAAAGAAGAAGGAAAGAAAGAAAGAAAAAAAGAAAGAAAGAAAAAGGAAGGAAGGAAAAAAGAAAGAGGTGATAAGTCAAATTTTATCCCAATCTCCAAGTTCCATTCTTCAGAGGAAATCCTGTTAGTGTTTTCTCGTGTAGCTTTACAAAAAATGTTCTATGCTTAATCAATTGTGTATCTATTGCATATATGCATATGTGTGTAATTATATAATACATACCACCCATGGGATTATTTAACACATAGTTTGCTCTAATTTGCTTTTTTTAATTTAAAAACTCAATGTTGGACTTATTTTCCTGTCAGTACATTCTTTTTAACAGCTACAATCACATCACCATCTGGATGCGCCAAATTTTTAACTGGTTCCCTATTTATTTGGGATAGAAAGTTTTTGTCTTAAGCAAACACAACTATAGGAAATATCCCAGAACTACCTGGCCCACAATCTCTGTCCTTTACATCTACCTGAGGGCAGGAGTAGTTCCATAGACCGCAGGTTTAATGTGAGCAGAATGAAGGACAAGCCAGGAAGAGAGAGTAGGAAGAGGACAGAAAGAGATGAGAACGAGGGGTTTGGGGCAGAGGCCAAATTCAACCAATTCTCACCTCTGACTTAGAGGATGTCTCCCTTCTCTTACTCCCTCTCATCCTACTTTCTCCACCAACCTCATCCCAAGGGGGCCTGCTGCATTGTGCTAGAACCCAGAACCCTAGCTAGGCTCTAATATCTCTAACCACCTCCCACTGCTCTATCACTGAATGATTCAGAACTCTTACCCATCAGCCAGATAAAGAGGCCCTGCCACTGGATCAAGGAGGACAGATGTCTGTTTGTTCTTTCTTACACACACACACACACCACACACACACACACACACACACACACACACACCCCTACCTGCCCTCCCAAACTGTGGGTTTCAGAATTGTACCGAGGATCCCCTGGAAATGTGGGGAAGAAAATGATATTTGTAAGCTCTTCTCTTTTAAAGCTTGAGTCCTACAAAAGAAATGATGAGGTCAAAGCCAACCCCTAAATTCTGGGTTGCTCTTTTCCAACCAGGATTCCTTAAGTATGGCAGAGCACAGAGCATGGAGTCACATAGGCTGTGTTCACCTTTCCCCCTGATGTGGGCAAGCTATTTATCACTCTGAGCCTGTTTCCTCCACCTTAAAATGGGGCTGGGATGTAAATGTGCTTTGCAAACCAATACATTCCACCACAGATAAGTTTTCGCTGTTCCACCTCATTTTCATGTTGAGCCTGTTGCCGGTGTGGAGGGATGGTGGAGAGCAGATCTTGCTCCCCCTCTTGGTGTCGCCCCATGCAGTCCTCAGAGTTCAGCTTCCATGCTTTCTGTGGATGGGGATGGGCAGGAAGGACAAGATGACGTTTTTGCTTTGTGTCCTCCCACTTTGATTCCTAGGGGACACTGTCTTCTTGGACAGTGAGCCCCAGCGGCAGGAGTACGTCATGAATGATTACGGCTTCATCTACCAAGGGAACAAGAACTGGATCCGCCCTTGCCCCTGGAACTATGGGCAGGTGAGTCTCAGCCCAGCTCATGGACCATCAAAAGGAGAGGGAAGCTGGAGGGGGATGGGATGATGCCCTCATGCAAGGTTTATCTAGAACTACTGAGTAATGGGAACTAAATGGTACTTGGAAGATGTAAGATGTGACTCCAGGAGCTAGAGGAGCAGCCATAGAAAGTTGGAATGTTCTTTGCTGACTGTGTCAGGATTAGAGAGAGAAGGGCAGCTGAAGGTACCCACCCAGGAATTCCACTGAGTATGAGAGTGAGGATGAAAGCACAACAGCAACAATGACCACGGTGGTGCCTCTTTTTTGTTTGTTTGTTTGTTAGCTGTGTTTCTAGTGTGGTTTCTAGATTTCCCCCCCACACACACATATTCTAAATCATGTGACTTTATTTGTAAAAATAGCATCGTATGAATTACAATGCGCTACAACAGCCCAGCCTTCAGCAGGTGCTCCAGGAAGTCCAGAACCAGGCCAGGGAGGAGGGTTCTCGAGGCTGGCCCCGGCACTGGGACACTGGCTCAGAACTCTTATCCATCAGAGAGAAACGATTTTTCAGCCAGTCAGACACATTAGCGGGAGGGAGAGGACCAGCCCTACCGCCCACAGAGGTGTCATCTCAAATTCCCAGGGGGAGGTGCGGAGCCTTATTTCAGTTTGCTATGTCTTCCTCTCCTGGACTTGTGTGGCCTCAGGCCCAGCCTAGGTCTCCCCCACCCTCTGCAGGAGGGTTGAGTCAAGATGAGACATAGCAGCCTAAACTGGCCCCAACTGACATCCCCACCCCTCACTCAGCATGGGCAGAGGGGGATCTTAGTGAGTCCCTGGACAGGAGGTTGTTGCCACCTGTGAGAAACAAAAGAGCAGAGCTGCTGGTCTCTGAGCCCTGGTCCTCCCATATCTCTTATTCAGTGAATGTACACTGAATGCCTGCTCAATGCCAGGCAGGGCTCTAGTGCAAGAGGTATAAAGATGAATAAAACACTGTCCCCAAGCCCACAGTGAAGTGGGGACTCAGTCATATAAGCAGGCCACTTATGCAGCGTGACATGGAAAGATTGCCAGACAGGCACAGGGGCCTCTGAGAGCCGAGGAAGAGCACTTGGTTGGGCGTGGGGCTGTCTGGGAAGCTTCCTGGAAGAGGAGATGCTTGAACTGAGTTAACCAAAAGAAGGGAGGTGGGGGGGAAACATCACAGGCAAAGAGCGGGATGAGCCAAGATACAAAGGTGGGGATCCGTTTGACCTGCTGCAGGGGTTACAAGGAATCTGGAGTTGCTGGAGCAAAGCTGGGGAGGCGAGGGTCCTGAGAAGTAGAAGAAGGCCAGATCAGGGAGGGTCTATGGGTCTTGTAGAGGAGGCTAGAGCTTTGATTCTGTAGGTCACATGGCTCTTTGAACATTTTAAAGCAGAAAAGTGAACTAATCAAACTATCCCTTGGGGAAAATGGATCTGAGAGCCTCCAAGTCCTCTTTATCACCAAGTGTTACATAGAAATCAATTAATTCACTTACTCTCATTCAACAAAGATGCTCAGAGCCCCTCTCTGTGCTGAGCACTGTGCCAGATCTGGGGTGTGAAGTTCCACGGAAAGTTGGAGAGATACAGGGCATACACTTAGGCAGGGAAGTCCGACCTTGGCTACATCATCATACCTGAGCCTGATGAGTAGAGATGTAGCCAGCGCTCTGAAGCTAAGCCAGGCTTGGACTCAGCGAAAGGCCTCAGGACAAGCGGCACCCTCACCTCGCCTGCCTTGGGTGGGAAGTTTCCATAACGCACATGCTATTAGTCAGCCCACAGCCGCCTTAGCCTTAACTACCAATGATGAGCTGGATCAGCAGGTAGGGGAGGAAGATGAGGCAATGTGGTTTTAGCAAGAACAGCTCATGAGGTCCAAGAGTGTGGGGATTGAGGAGAGAAGAGAGAGAAACGATTTTTCAGCCGGTCAGACACATTCGACAAAACTCCAAGGGTTTGACTTTCAGGACATACCAAGTGGGGGAGTTGTGATCCCAGAGCTTTGAGACCCTGTACCTGCCCCCGAGTTCATGGCTGTGCTACTAGACACAGTTACCATCCAAGTGGATTTGCATTTCAAACACACTCCATCGGAGAGCTGAGTGGGGTGGCTCCATATCTTCATGTGCGAAGCCTCTCTGCATCTCTCCTTGCAGTTTGAAGACAACATCGTCAACATCTGCCTGGAGCTGCTAGACAAGAGCCTGAACTTCCAGATTGACCCAGCCACAGACTGTGCTCTTCGGGGAAGCCCTGTCTACATCAGCAGAGTGGTGTGCGCCATGGTGAGGCTGGGTCTGGGTTTGCCCACTCAGGGCATGTGCAGAGAGGGAGGACGCTGTGCCAGGGGAGTCCTGCTCACAGTTGCCCTGAAATGGGAGAATGAGGAGTTGAGAGGCACAGGCCCTCTTGCAAAGCCATTATGGCTAAGGCTGATGAAAGTATAGCTAACAGGCTTTCCTCAACTGAGCTCTGAAATAGCTGGATGTGGGCCACCATGTCTATTGATTCCAATTGCGTGTTTTGGGAAAGGCTGAGCATAGCTGTAGTTTGTGAAATGATCTTATTGTCTCTAAGTTTCTTTCGCTCTGAGTATTTTTAAAAGCTACCAAAGCCAAGCTCTAGCTTTGCAGGGGATGGGGAGGTGAGGGGTTAGGAGGTGTGTAGAAATAGAATAATAAACCAATTACCAGTGGAACACAAGTCAGAATGGCCAGCTTCCCATCCTGACCCCTTCCCCAGCGGGTCCGGAAGTTCCCAGGGAAAATGAGAGGAAAGCCTCCTCTGTGTCTCAGGCCCACAGGCCTTGCAAGGCCGCTCACACTTCACATCCTGCTGATGAAAGGATGCTCCTAATTCTTCTATGGCTTCTCTTCAGATCAACAGCAATGATGACAAAGGGGTGCTCAATGGAAACTGGAGTGAGAATTTCTCAGACGGCACCAACCCTGCCGAGTGGACTGGCAGTGTGGCCATCCTGAAGCAGTGGCACTCCACAGGCCAGCCAGTGCGCTACGGGCAGTGCTGGGTCTTTGCAGCCATCATGTGCACAGGTAGGAAGAAGAGAGTTCCCCATGAAATGACAAAAAATGCAATGGCTTACATATTAGCCCTCCAAGTAATTCTTGTCCCCATCTCACACAGTTCCCACCAAAAACATTGGGAAGGAAACCCTTTCCAGGTTGGGGGGGGGGGGGGGGAATGTCTTCACTAACCTCAGGCTTCACAGATGTGGGCTTATTTCAGAGGATGGTTTTGAGGTAGAAATCACACACTTCCCGGAACCTGGCACCCTTCCCTCTCTTCTAACAGAGCCAGGCTCGAAACTGTCTGGTGCAAGCTAGGAAAGAGAGAAGAGGCCAAGTAATTAGAAAACCTTGCAAAGTGATTAGCATAGAGAATGGTCTTAATGAAGATGTTCATATGAGAGGGAAATGTGCATCTGAGCAGCGGTATGGACCATGGGACCAGAGCAAGGTGATCGCCAAAGTGCAATGACCTGGAATTTGGAGTTGCACAAGTTTGGAGGTCTGGTGGCCTGGCTCAGGCCGGGGGATTAGGGGGTCAGGGGAAATGGTAGATCAACTTTTCAGATAGGGAGTAGATGCGACAATAGTAAAAGAAAAGCTAAAAAGAATAGTAGGCACGTGGGAAAGAACGCAGGTGGAAGTTGGTTTGCATGTGGCAAGAGGAGCAAGTAGAAGGAAGTGGCAGGTAAATGCTGAGGAAACTGATACCTGGAAACGAGTTGCACAATGGAGGTAGCAGGAGGAGATCTGCCTCACCCTGGAATCTTGCTCCTACCCCCCCCCCCCCGCCCCCCACCGCCTAGGCCAGCTCTCAGCCTCTTGGCATGCTTATCCATACACTTGACGTGGGTCACAATCAGGAAGTTGTTAATGTTACCTGGGGAAAGATGCCAAGGGTGGCCTTTGTTCACAGCACTCTCTAGTGCAATCCAGGGAGGCCAGATCTGCCCACAACTTGGTTTAATCAAGGAGTGAGGCCTTTTGTGTAGAAATTCCCTAGAGTAGTGCAAAGCCTGGTGCACTCTGTATGCATGTGTGTGCTGAGTACAGCTCCAGTCTCCTGGAGGAAGCCAGAGAGCCCGGGGCTGCGAGCAAAGGCCAGGCCTCTGTTCAAGGGCACAAGGAGGTCTCTGTCAACACCCACAGAGGGTGGGCGACTTCACACAGGCTGGGGAGGAGGAGGTCCCCAACCACTCCTCCCCTGCAGCTGCACTGCCTTGCGGTGAATGCTTTGATTGGTCAAAGAATCGTTTGTTTGTCGGTGTTTTGTTTTGTTTTGTTTTAATAAGAAACCAGGAATTTGACAGCTTTGATCGTGTGACAGATAAGAGTTAAAGGCATTTGGGTAAACTTGGATGTCTGAGTCATTGAGGGAGGAGGCAGAGGACGAATCAATCTTGTTTGTGCAGGATAGAGAGGAAATCTTCCTGTGCTGGAAAAGCTTCGAGTCTAATGGGCCAAATGTACGTGTGTAAACGAAAGGGCCAGGGTTTGGTGTGTGATTATCGGGAACTGGTTGATGACAGAGGAGGAGCCAGTGAGCGGAGATTATGAAAGAGAGGAGACTAATTTATGAGAATAATGGCTCTATGGTGATCTGGAAAGCAAAGGGTTGGGCAAGGTGGGTCAAATGTGGGCTACGTGGGTCCAACTGAAGCTCAGTTAGCACCAGCCTTCCCGGAAAGACTTACCATGTTGTATATTAATAAGCATGTCAGTTTTTAAAACTCATTCCAATAACCCTTATTTACTGAATCTTTATTCTATGCTAGGCACTATGCCTCAAATACTTTTGAATACAAAAACGGGTACGACCCAGTCTGTATCCTCCACTAAAAGTTAGAGATTTATCAGGCTCCTTAACCCGATCATCCGCCAAAGCATTACTATTATTCACAATCACAATAGCTGATGGTTATGGAAGACTTCCTTTGTTCCAGGAACTGGGCTAAAACTTGGACAGCTTAGAGTAATGGTGAGGCAGGTGGGCTCCAGAGGTAGACTGCTTGGCTTCAAAATCCAGCAAGGCCATTGGTTGGCTGAATAACTTTGGACAAATCACTTAACATGTGCCTCACGTTTCCTCAGAGGATTAAGTTCATGCATGGAGAATTCTTAGAATAGAGCCCGGCTACAGTGAGTGTTCAGGATTAGCAAGGATAGTCCTGTTTGATCCTTCAAACGACCTTATGAATTAGGTCTTATCGTCACCTTAGTTTTGCAGATGGAGAGATTGAGTGGTGGAGCGAAGCTCACATCCAGTCCGGCATGCTCTAACCACAAGGCCGTATACTGCACAGACATGACTAGCGGCCACCATGTATCTAGCATTCTCTGTGCTTCAGGCACACACTGAGCACTTTCACACTTTCTAATCCCCACAACCACATGCAAAATACATATAATTACTGTCATTTTACAGGTGAAAAAACTGAAACTCAAAAGTGATCAAGTGACTCTTGTCTGACCCGGAAGTACATCCTCCCACCAGCAGCTCTACTTCCCAGTATTGCCTTTTTTAATGTGAACTAATTGACATCGAGTTCCTAAAGAAAAATCACAGAAATGAAACAGCATGCATCAAAAATAGTGCTATAATTTTGGATGGGCTGTTTCCTTGACAACCATTTAGTTGTCTGTTACTTGGAGAATTTCAGAGAAATCCCTGGCCTACGCTTCAATGCTCAGACCCAGCTGCCCCACGACTCTCAGTCATCCTGTTCTGGCCATCCACTCTTTATGACAAGGTCAGCCCCTCAGCCGTTGGCTGAGGTCTATAAAGTATCCAGAAAACCTCAGACTGTACAAGAAACAGAGGGGACAGTGATGATCTGTTGCCTGAAAATTCTCCCCAAAGCCAGGAGTTAAAAGCCACTTATTGTATGATTCCATATATGTGCAATGCCCAGAATAGGCCAATTCATAGAGACAGGAGAGTGGATTAGTGATTGCCAGGGCAGGGGGAAGGGGGGATGGAAAGTGACTGCTAGTAGACATAGAGGGGTTTTTTAGGTGAAATGTTCTGAGATTATTAGTGGGGATTGTTGTACAACCTGTGAATATACTACTGACCACTGAAGAGGTGACTCTAAAAGAGTGAATTTTACAGTATGTGAGTTATCTCAATAAAGTTTTTTGTTGTTGTTGTTTGTTTGTTTTTTTAAGCCAGGCATCCTGGGAATATGCCTGGTCCTGGTAGGTTCCTACCCACAGCTGCCTGGGGTAGCAGTGGGGGCAGAAGTGAGGGGCTGAGGGTCGGAAGACTTGAACATGTGACTGTGAGCAGGTCCTTGTGGTAGGGCCCTTGGCCCTGAGCCAAGGTGGGAAATGGTGGGAAGGTGAGGAAGCTGAGAGCTTGGGGCTGGGCACCTCCTCTCTTCACGGACCTAAGATTTCTCCTCATTTGTTTGTGTAGAGTTATTTCAATATAATAACTCTTGCCCTCATTGTTTTTACTGAGTCATTTACTCTGAAAGAAAGGAACCTCAGTCAAGGCCCTCGTGATTTATTTAGCTTCAATCTTTGGCTTACACACAAATCTACCATTATTCTCCATGGATTTATGAGGCATCATGGATTGTATGAAATGTTCCCTCACTGAGTTGTTAATTGATATGTGGCAATCATCTAGAAAAATGCCTGGCACATGGTTAGTTTTACATAAGTGTTAGCTATTATAATTAGTCTCCCAATGTTTTTATCTCTGCCTCTTAGGCTCCAAAGGTCTTGCAGGCTCTTGTTTAAAAGGTTTCTATTTTTATTTTATTATTTTTTAAAATATATTTTTATTGATTTCAGAGAGATGAAGGGAGATGGAGAGAGATAGAAACATCAATGATGAGAATCATTGATTGGCTGCCTCCTGCGTGCCCCCACTGGGGATCGAGCCCACAGGCAGGGCATGGCCCTGACCAGGAATTGAACCAAGATCTCCTGGATCATTGGTTGACACTCAAACACTGACACACACCGGCTGGGCTCTACCACTTTTTGGGTTTATTTCCTTGCTTTGTTCCTTGGAGTGTTTGGGATTAAATTAATCATATTCCTTGTGTCATAGCATTTATCGTAATAGGTCTTCTTCAGGCCCCTCATTTAAAAAAATGTAACTAATTAATTGATTTCCCCCATTTATCTCATAAACCATTTCCATTTACTTCCCCCCAAGAGAGGGAAACATTTTTATGTGCTTAATATATAGTATTGTATATAAAGGTGTTCTTATAAAAAAGTATATTATCTTTTGTTCCTGTTGTTAATCATCACCCAAGGATATTTTTTTCCATTGATTTTTAGAGAAAGTGGAAGGGAGAGAAAGAGGGGGGAGAGAGAGACATCAATGTGTGAGAGAGAAATAAATTGGTTGCCTTTCAACCCAGGTGAATGCCCTTGACCAGGAATTAAGCCAGTAACCCTTTAGTGTGTGGGCCAACACTCGAGCCATCCAGCACACTAGCCAGGACAGTATATTAGTATTGTTATCTTTGTATATTTTGTCCAGTATTTTTGTTTTGTTTTGTTTTATAGATTGTATTTTTTTCACCTTTAAAAGTTCCATTGGGCCCTAGCTGGTTTGGCTCAGTGGACAGAGTATCAGACTACGGACTGAAGGGTCCCAGGTTTGATTCCTATCAAGGGCACATACCTTGGCTGCAGGCTCGATCCCCTTTACCAGGTTGGGCATATGCAGGCGGTAACCAATAGTTGTGTCTCTCTCACATTGTTTTTTTGTTGTTGTTGTTGTTGTGTTTTTTTTGTTGTTTTGTTGTTTTTTGTTTTTTTCTCTCTGTCTCTCCCTTTCCCTTCCACTCTCTCTAAAAATCAATGAAAAAATATCCTTGGGTGAGGCTTTTTAAAAATTTAATTGAGTCTTTTCTTTGTCTTCCATTTTTCTTATTATGTTTATGTTTTCCTTTACTTTTTCTTGAGCATATCTATTTAACATACCTATTTTAATGTCCTTGTCAGTTAGTTCCATGATTTCTGTCATTTCTTGATCTAATTTTATTGACTGACAATTTTTC